AAATAAATATGTATATCTAATAGCGATTTATCGTCTACGAGGAGTTTGCTGGTGCTGGAGCGCATTGTTCAAGCTGCTGGATAACGTACATTGCGCCTACGGCAGCCTCGCAAGCTCTGAAAAGTTAAAGTTATTACGAGCGTGTGCTGCTGCTGCCTCGAGCGGGATGGTTTTTTTTTTTTTTTTATCTCATAATTTGTAAAACAATATATAATATAAAGGTGGGAGAAAATGTACAATAGTAGGAAGGATGTGGAGGGAAATTTCGCCTAGTAAGTGCAAAAGCAAAAGGAGATCAGACAAGAGACGTAGAGAATTATATGTATATATGTAGAGGCACGGGAAGGGGAGGCTCTCGCAGGGCTGCACTCGTCTTCCGCTGACATCGGAAAGCACCAGCGACAGAGTGTAGAGCGAGATAAAATAGACTCCTCCTCCTCCTTCTTCTCGTCCTCCAACAGCGCCGCTGGCGAGTTTCTTGGCTCGGCAACCTGCAAATTGCTCTCGGCGAAATTAAAGTCTCGCGAGCACACCGCGTGTATATGTACACAATACACCGCGACAGGAGACGAAGAGAAAAAGAGAGTGGCACACGTTGCATTATAGATTATCTCCCTATACCAGAGTACAGCGGTTCGAAGACGGGGCTTGGAGACAGAAAAGCGGTGCGGCTTTTTTCTTTCTTTCTTTCTTTCTTTGGCCGCGGTTTCGAAGACGAGTCCGGGTGTGCGATGAGAGAAGAGTGTTTTTGGGTTAGGCGAAGAGGCGACAGTGAGAAAATGATACGTTGCTGATCTAGCGTTTCTCGCCCGGGTACATTATATTATACGGGCGTGCTCCTGAAATCGACAAAATCAGAGAATGCAAAGAGAGAGAGAGATGGAGATGAATGATGCCAGACCGTCTTCGAGACGATATTTCTTTCACGTTGCGACGTACTGGCGATCGCAAGGTTAAACAGGTACTTGTACTCAGACAGCTTCCTAAGTAGGAAAGTAACAACTTTGTTCCCAAGTTTTTTGCAAATTTTCTTTGTGGAAGAAATTTTTTCTTAAACTAAATTATGATTCGTTTCGTTGTAAAAAAAAGCCGCTTAGGTAGCTCCCAAAAGTGATGGTAAATTGCGATCGCCAATACGAGACATTTTGCACAATTAATTTTTTTTTACCTCTTCATGTTTCGAGTGCACGTATACAGTATTTACAAAGTTTGGATGTACGTGTTATGTAATGTGTATTCGTAAGAGTCAGCCGTATTTGTTTTAGGGACACAATGTCTCAACATGTACGCATGTGAATTA